GCCACCTGGTGGCTGTCAATCAAGTACAAAGGAAAACCCTACTGCTTAATACCTGAAGAGATGTTCTACATTTCCTAAGATGGCATGCACACCCATAAGCTAAGAAGCACAGGAAAGAATGTTTGACCTCCCCAATTTTTTTTTTTTGAGGAAGATTAGCCCCGAGCTAACACCTGCTGCCAATCCTCCTCTTTTTGCTGAGGAAGACAGGCCTTGAGCTAACATCTGTGCCCATCTTCCTCCATATGTGGGATGCCTACCAGAGCATGGCTTGCCAAGCGGTGCCATGTCTGCACACAGGATCTGAACCGGTGAACCCTGGGCCGCTGAAGTGGAATGTGTGAACTTAACTGCTACGCCACCGGGCTGGCCCCTGACCTCCCAACTTTTAATCAATGAAAAGAAAATGTTATCCGCTGATGACTAACGGTGTATTTAGAGGTTTCCTAGGAAGGCTTCCCCAAGATCAGCAAGACCAGCACCACTCACCATAACTTCAGTGTTCCTGAGCACATTCTGATACCCAGCTGGATGAAGGACGATGCCACTAGGGTTGGTGTAGACCCCATGGATGTGTAACACACTCAGCTTCCGCTTCTCCTGAGCCCACTCTAGGACCTGTACAACATAAATATAGCTCAACCAGGTTGGCAGGGCTGAGCGCTTGCTGCAGGGTCCCAAGGGGCAAGAGGCTGATTTGAAGACTGGGCTTCTGATGTAACTCTCCAGCTTCATGATATCATAGGGCAAGAAGGCAAAACCTGCTATGGTCTCAGTTTGCATTTCAGGTATGACTGTCAAGACCGATGGCAGCAAGTCTGGTGATTTCACTTTGAAAGGAACAATCAAAAATTAGAATTTATTTGTCATCACCTGCAGAAACAATAAGGGTCCTGTGCACTGGTGACACACAGGAGAGCTATGGATGACTGTTTCAATAATGGTCCCCAAGATACCAAGCCTCCTTGTATCCCTCCATCCTCCTTGTGCATTCCCTCCTCACACTTCCCCCAGGCTTGGCCATATGCTTGCTTTAGCCAATGGGGCCTTAGCAAATACAACACAAACAGAAGCTTGAAAAATGTTGGCATGAGTCTTATGTCTCTTTTGCTTCTTTTGGAACCCAGCTACCATGTGAAGAAGGCTGGGCCAGCCTGCTAGAGATGCATGGCCCAGCTGACTACCTGCAGCAACAGACATGGAAGTGAGGACACCTTACACCACCCAGCCTGGGTCTGGCCACCAGAAGATTGCAGCCGTGTGGGTAACCCGCAAAATCCGCAAACCAGCAGAACTGCCCAGCTGAGCCACTGAGCCTAGCTCAAATTGCTAATTCATGTTATCACGGGCAAATAAAATGTTGTTCTAAACCACAAAGTTTCAGGGTGGTTTCTTTTTTTTTTTTTTTAAAGATTTTATTTTTTTCCTTTTTCTCCCCAAAGCCCCCCGGTACACAGTTGTATATTCTTCGTTGTGGGTCCTTCTAGCTGAGGCATGTGGGACGCTGCCTCAGCGTGGTTTGATGAGCAGTGCCATGTCCATGCCCAGGATTCGAACCAATGAAACACTGGGCCGCCTGCAGCGGAGCGCACAAACTTAACCACTCAGCCACGGGGCCAGCCCCTCAGGGTGGTTTTTTGTGCAGCAATTGATAACCAATAAGAGTCCCTTCAGTCACCTCTGAGTTACCTCACAGGCTACCAATGAAGCACAATCATTTAGATGACAGTGATAACAACAGCCGCCTGGACTCCATGGTCCCATTTTCCCAGGGACTTGAGACAGTATAAATTTATTCTTATAACGTTCTAGAGAAACAAGGTATGAATTAGGAAAAATAGTCAAGAGGCACAGAGATTTAGAACTTGATATTACTTGGCCCCATTCTGACTATCAGTCAATGGTTTAATCATTAGACTTCAATACTGCCCCTAATGTGGACTAAAAATACAAAGCAAATTTCAAGCCTCCAGGATGAAAACGAAAAGGAAAATACCAAGTCTGAGAGACAGCCTTAATTCTGAAAATGCCCTAATGCTTCGGATCCTGCTCGTGATCTTGGAGATTACATTAGAAGCAGCATGGAAGCTGTTTCCAGCCATTAGCTTTTGAATTTCGTTCCATCATTTATTAACTCAAAAAATATTTACTGAGCACCCACTATGTGCCAGGTACTATCTCAGACTGTGGGGTAAGAAAGGCTGATGTGGTACCTATCCAAATGGAGTTGCTATTCCTGTGGGGTAAAAAGCCAGAAAACAAACAAACCAAGATAAAAATTGAAAGTTAGAGTAAGTGCCATGAAGGAAATGGACAAAAAAATAAGGGCGAGTCCATTCTTTTTTTTTTTTTGAGGAAGATTAGCCCTGAGGTAACTACTGCCAATCCTCCTCTTTTTGCTGAGGAAGACTGGCCCTGTGCTAACATCCATGCCCATCTTCCTCTACTTTATACATGGGACGCCTATCACAGCATGGCTTTTGCCAAGCTGTGCCACGTCCGCATCCAGGATCTGAACCACCGAACCCCGGGCCGCCGAGATGCGGAACGTGCAAACTTCACCACTTCGCCACCGGGCCAGCCCTGAGTCCATTCTTAAATAGGACGTCAGAGAAGGCCTATCAGAGGAGGTGATCCTGAAGTTGAGACTTACAGGTGAAGAAGGAGCTGATCACACAAAGCACAGTGGTGGTGGTAGCAGGTGGAAGATATTCCAGCCAGCGAGAACCATGCATGGCACCATTTCTCTAAACTTGATTGCCTTTTAAAACCTGGCTTCAAGGTCAGCAAAATCACCAGTGGTATTACAGTGACTACTCTGGCAGTGGCAGTGACAAGGAAAGCTAGGGGGTGAATCACTGTCTGTTCAAACTCTAGCTGGGCTCTGAGGTGGACCCAAAGGCAGGTTCCCGGGAAAACAAAGTGTAGAAGGAAAATTACAAAAACTACAGAGCAGGACAAATGAGACCTGGTGGCGTTTTACAACCTGTTTTGTTTTCTTTTTTCTTCACTTACTGTGTCTCTGACATCTTTTTACAGCAATGAAAACATTTTCCCTTTTATGGCCTCCTCAAATACATGCTGGTGTATCTACAGAATCTCCTACTGGGGCTAGATTTCAAGTTACAAACTCAGGTGACCATTCTAATAAAGCCTCATCTCATTAGTTGACAGAGATCAACATCTATAATTCAATATTATGGTGATGGCTTAGGTATAGTATGGGCTACAATAAAAAAGTCTGCTGAGGTTTCCACTTAATGTTAACCCCCACCCAGCTGTCACGCGGCCTGCACGTTGCTCTTCCAGACATCATAAGGCAGTCCTCCCGCATTCCCAACAGAGGCCATAAAGAATATATCCTAAGAGAGAATTTTAAATCAATATTACACCCACCTGATATCAGCGAGTGTTAAAGAGAACTTACGGTTCAAACGACTTTCTATACTCTTTCTTTAACATCGGGTGCAACTGTCAAAACACACAGAACTGAACACTATTAAGATCTGTGCATTTTACTGTACACTGACTGACTTTATCTCAAAAACCAAAAACCAAAAATCCAACCAGGGACAAGCATCTTCCTTTCTACCTCTACATAAATACCAGTACTACACAATATACCAACTAGAAGACAGTTTTTCTGATGAGGAAGATACACTCCACTAGCCTGAAGAGGACAGCAATCCTTTGCTTTTTACCTTTTTCTCATCAGTAAGGTCAAGGGATTCCAGCTGTTTTCCCTGATCTGCTGCGTACAGTTCCAGGAGATTGTCAAAATTTGTAGTTAATACCAGCGCTCCATTTTCCATCAGGTGGAGAACTGATTGAAGCAGCTGTTTTCCAGAATCTTCCATCTTTGACTCCAAGTCATCAAATACTTCATATAAACAGTCTTTGAAAAATGTGGATCGAACATTGCTAGTACGCTGGGGAGGGATTTGAAAGAGAAACATTAATCCTAGGTGTTTTGGTAGTGATTTGTCTTAGTTACAGTAAGAGCAAGTTTTTGAAGAATATTTTGTACTTAAAATAAGGATAAAATATTGCCTACAGTGTTCTAACAGGGAAAAGAGGATGATAATGCCAAGGGCTCAGCACAATGCCTGGCACATAGCAGAGATCAGTCCTATGACATCATACACCAACAAGCATAAGCTTTCTGAATAGCATTTTATAGAATGAAGAAAAAGGGGCGTGGCCAAGAGCTGTGAGTCAGCACCTGGACTAAACGGATGCTGGGCTAGAAAGTAAAGCACCAATTACCCTCTAATGAGGCCTCCAGGAAGAAGGCAATACTTTCTGTTAAATTTCCCTTATCTAGGGAATAACCAGTAAGACAGCTCGAAATGTGGTTTAGCAGCTCTTCTAATCCGAGGTGCTTTGTACAGATGCTTACGGATTTAGGAAAAACTGCTCGCCTTCTCCCCACCTGTTTTTTCCCCTGGCATAATTCAGCAATTTGTTTATAGGTTTGCCAGGAAGAACACTTAGTATATAATAAAGGTTATAAAAAAATCTGCATTTTGCAACTATTAAACATACCAAACAGGGGCTGGCCTGGTGGCATAATGGTTAAGTTTGTGTGCTCTGCTTCAGCAGCCCAGGTTCACGGGTTCGGATCCTGGGTGTGGATCTAGCACCACTTGTCAGCCCATGCTGTGGCAGCATCCCACATAAAACAGACGAAGGTTGGCACAGATGTTAGCTCAGCGACAATCTTCCTCAAGCAAAAGAGGAAGATTGGCAATAGACGTTAGATCAGAACCAATCTTCCTTGCAAAAAAAACCCCCACAAAAACCAAGCATTTATCAGTTCTAAAAAGCATTTATCAGTTCTAAACAGACTCCCTATTTCTTTTCTCTTTTTTAGGAAGACTGGCCCTGAGTTAACATCTGTGCCCATCTTCCTCTACTTTCTATGTGGGATGCCTACCACAGCATGGTTTGACAAGCAGTGCCATGTCCGCAACCGGGATCCGAACCGGCGAACCCCTGGCCGCCGAAGCAGAATGTGGGAACTTAACCGCTGCACCACCAGGCCGGCCCCAGACTCCCTATTTCTTAAACAGGGTTTTTTAAATAACTGCTTTCTCAGATTCATTGTGAATATATGTAAATACTTCTGAGGACTAATGAGGAACTATAATACCAACCTCAAGTGGGAAGTGGGCTTTATAACTTAAAAGTGAAGAGGCCCCGGGACAGAAGGAATTTGAAGGGAGAAAGTAACTGTGTAATGTGTTATAATAAATGTCTGATCTCTAACCTATTCCTGCAATACCATCCCATTAGATAACACCAGAGCCAGATTTAGTTCTTAAAGGGCCCAATATTTCCCATGCAAATATGGGCAGTCATCGCTCTTAGCTGCTAGACAGTAGATATTTAGCTCCTTCTGTTTTTCCTCAAAGTATCCCCCGCACCTTCCTGGTTTGCTGTGGCATATCTTTCTAATAGCGCAATGCTCAGATAAAGATCTGTTTCCACGGGACTGTATAAGCAGATTCGTAAAACATGCTTCAATTTGCCAAATTCTTCTCCTAATTCTTCAAAGTACTTTACAAAATTATCAATTCTTTAATTATACCTACCAAATAAATGGCAAATATCTTTACAGTAGAAAAATTAGAGGACAGAGTGAAACAGTCCTCTGCCTGATGGTGACACACCCAGAAGTGCATCTGGTCTGTCGATTTGATCCGTGCCACCTCTACCACTAGACAGGCTCCTCACTGTAGCCTGTGTCAGCGGGCTCACAGATTTTTTTCTAGTGCTAAAAAGACAGTATGGCCCATAATTTACGTGGCTGAGAATGTGGGTCATGTTTTTAAACTTTTGTCCGTTCTCATTACACACTGGCATAAATAATTACGTAGCATATTAGCAGCCCATAGGCAGCCAACTGGGGACTCTAACACTCAATCAGGATGAACAATCTGATCAGAAACAAACAGTGAAGAATTTATAACCCTATACCACTATTGAATACCAGGCTCTTTCCTAGATTTGCTATCAAAAACATGACATATACAAGGTCATCACTGCTCTGTTATCTGTAATGGTAAAAAGCCTGGAAACAAGCCAAGTATCTACTACAGGAGACTGGTATGGCCAAGTACCCGTATATGAGACTGGTACAGAAAGGTCTCCAGGATATTCTGTTAAATAAAACAAACCAGGTGCAGAACAGTATGTCTACAGTGCTACCTGTTGACATGGGCGATGGAGGTAGTGAGGTAAGAATAAATAAAGTCCTATTTCCTTGTTTTTTGCAAAAAGGAACACTGAATGAATACTCAAAAAGCTAGTAAGTGTGGTGATCAAAGGGGGGGTCAGTTGGGGAGGGGAGGTGGACAAAGACATGGGTGGGAGTGAGATGTTGCAATGTCTGTAAACCTTTTTACATCATTTTGAATCTGCAATGTGTATAAACACTACCTATTCAAAAAAGCAAAACTAAGTTTAAAATTGTGATTTTAAGAGCTTTCTGGGGCTGGCCTGGTGGTGCAGCAGTTAAGTTTGCACGTTCCGCTTCGGTGGCCCAGGGTTCACTGGTTCAGATCCCAAGTGCAGACATGCCACAGCTTCGCAAGCCATGCTGTGGTAGGCGTCCCACATATAAAGTAGAGGAAGATGGGCATAGACGTGAGCTCAGGGGCAGACTTCCTCAGTGAAAAGAGGAGGACTGGGAGCAGACGTTAGCTCAGGGCGAATCTTCCTCAAATAAAAAGAACTTTCTTGTGTTTTATAACTTCGTCTTGTACTTGGATTCACACACACACAGTTATACAACACGACATTCCAGGAGCAGTTTAATCATTCCACACACAGATAAAAACACCTGTGTATACAACCAGGCAGTCCTAAGCGTGGAATATATTTTCTTGCTCCTAAGAAAAGAAGGCGAAGGCCTGGAAATAAATGTCACAAGTCAGTTATCTGAGTGATTTCTTTAAGCGATCACATCTTGCATATCAACACTGAGAAGAAGGAAAGAGGCTTCTGGAGCTGCAGTGATTTCCTCAGACTTAAAGTGAACGTTTTTCTCTCTTGAAGCAGGTGACCTTAGAACTGAATTTCCCACCAGTGGCCTCTCTAAATAAAAACAAAGGAATGAAAACAAACAAGGAGGCTCCACAGTTGAAAGGAAATGCCGAACTCCCACACAAACTATGGACGTTTTCTCACTCACCTGAAACAGTGAGCTGAATCCAAAGGGACTTCATCTCCTTCCCTGTAACTCCCATCTCCCTGATCTCAGACACCCTTTCCCACCAAAGTCACTAACACTGAGAGTGCATTCGCCATGTGCCAGACACTTTACACACATTCACTCACTTATTCTTCATACAAGGTAAGCAGTAGTATCCCAGTTTTACAAGAGCAAAAACAGCTTCTGAGCAGTGAAGTGACCTGCCCCGGGGCCCAGTGCATTTAAACGGCAGTCTTTCTGATTCCGAAACCCTCTTTGCATAGAAGGCACAATGTCACTTCCCTACTCTGAGAAACTGCTCAGGTAGAGGGGCCTATTCACCCTGCCTTATTAGCATCGTTAGATTCTTTAAAAAATATGTATATATATGGATATGCTCAAACATACACAAAGATAAAAAGAAGAGTATAAACCCCCACGTTCCCATCTTCTAGTTTCAACAACGATCACACGCGGCCAATCCTGTCTAATCCAAACACCCTCCCACTCCGTCCCCGACTCCCTTCACTGAAGTTTCCTGAAGCAATTCCCAGGCATCATATCATTTCATTCCAACAGTTCAAGAGTTCCCCAAAAGATAAGGACTCCCCTTTATATGTGAAACAAAACGTAACTGCAATACCACTACCACACCTAAAAGACACAGTAACATTAATTCCTCAATATCAAATACTCAGATAGCCTTCAAATTTCCCCAAACACGTATCTCTGTTTCTTTTTTTTTTTTTAAGCCTTTGGGTTGTCTGTGTTTTCTTCTTACATATCCTCTATTGGAGTGGTTTTCAAAATGTGGCCCTGGACCCCATGGATCCCTAAGATTCTTTAAGGGGTGTGTAAAATCAAAATTATTGTCATCATAATATTAAGGTGATATCTGTCTTTTAAATTCTGTTGATATTTCCACTGATGGTACAAAAGCAATGGTGGGAAAACTGCCAGTGCCTTAGGGTGAATCAAGAGAGTCAACCAAGCATGCTGTCTTCATATATTCGTCACTACCCAAGACTTACAGAAAGAAAAAATGCCAGTTTCACTCAAGAATGTCCTCAATGAAGCAGTAAAAGTTATTACTTGCATTAAATCTTGCTCCTTGAGTCCACGTCCTTTTAAGATTGTGTGCGCGGAAACAGGAAGCACGCACATCGCACTTGTGCAGGCTGGAGAGGATGGCGGCCTCGAGGTGAAACATGGGTGTGAGTATTTAATTTGTAAGCTGAACCAGCTGCCTTTTTTCATGGAACATCATTTTTACTTGAAAGAATGACAGTCAAACTATGGTTATTCAGATTTGGGTAGTCTCAGGCATTCTTGTAAAAATAAGTGAAGCGAGACTGCCATTTCAAGGAAAACAGTGGATGGATGACTGCTGCCACTGTCGCCAACGATAAAAGCTGAACCTTCCAGCAAGAGTCAGAATTTCATACAACTTGTATCTGCCACCATGAGCTTGACAGCTCCCAAACACACCTTTGTGATGAGACTGGTGGTGATATTAATGAATGCAGTTTTTTGACTGTGTAGTGAAATGCGTCAACATCTGAAAAATATGTGTAACCCAGTGAACCAGCACTGTCCAAATGACCAACACATGAAGTTACAAAAGCACGCATGGGTGAAACAGCCACTTTGAGTGCAAGCTGGACCATGGAGTTCAGTGCAACAGAGTAGCACCAACAAGGAATATCTACAATTATCCAGAAAGACTATTAAAACACTTCTCTTTTCCAAGTATCTATGACACCTGATCTTTTCAGACTTAAACCAAAACAACATAAACACACCAGGCTGACTATATAAAGCAGATGTGAGAACCCAGCTGTTTTCTATTAAGCTAGACATTAGAGATTGGTAAAAATATGAAACAATACTACTTTTCTCACTAATTTATCTTTGTTTTGGAAAATATAATTATTTTTCATAAGCATTGTTATTTATGTTAACATGTAATAGGTTTATTGCTGTTATTTTAAAATGAATTAATATTTTTAAATTCTCATTTGATTTCTTTTGGAGAGGAAGATTGGCCCTAACTAACATCTGTTGCCAATATTCCTCTTTTTGCTTGAGGAAGATTGTCCCTGAGCCAACATCTGTGCCCATCTTCCTCTATTTTGTGTGTGGGACGCCTACCACAGCATGGCTTGATGAGCAGGGTGTAGGTCTGCACCCGGGATCCAAATCTGTGAACCTGGGGCCTCCCCGAAGTGAAGCATGTGAACGTAACCAGTAGGCCACCAGGCTGGCCCCTAAATTCTCATTTTTAATACAATGAATATTTTAATGTCAATGAACATATTGACAGATATAACCCATATAAATAAAAGCTGTTGGAGATTCTCAATAATTTTTAAGAGTGTAAAGGAGCCTTGAGACCAAAAAATTTGATAATTGCTATTCTACTGGAACTGACACTAATCCACAGCTATACTTTAAGGTTAATAATAAATCTTCACCCAAAGATAATTAGTGACTCCAGTTTGATGTATCTGGTTAGTATACATTTACTGGCATTGACTTAAATCTTCTCACTGCTTTCAATCGTAACCAACCCAACTAGCAAAACCAAGCTTTCTGTTCTCAGGAGACCACTATAATGGATCAGTAAAGGCTGCAGCCACAATAATAAGCTGGCACGGCAATACCACAACTCCTAGCTTGACACAGGACTTCTGCATCCACAGACTACTCTTCCTGGACTAATACAGCACTCTTTGTCCTCATAAGCTCTTTTTTTTCCCAGAAAGATAACATGTTAATTAACTGCCAAACACATTTCTTTAATATTTTTCTCTTACATTTGCTAACTATATACTCTTTTTTTTTTTTGAGGAAGATTATCCCTGAGCTAACTACTGCCAGTCCTCCTTTTTTCTGCTGAGGAAGCCTGGCCCTGAGCTAACATCCGTGCCCATCTTCTTCTACTTCATATGCAGGACGCCTGCCACAGCACAGCTTGCCAAGTGGTACGTAGGTCTGCACCCAAGATCCAAACCAGCAAACTGTGGGCTGCTGAAGTGGAATGTGAGAACTTAACCAGTGCACCAGTAGGCCGGCCCCTAGCTAAATACTCTTTATCTTTTTACATAACAATAATTTTGCATTTGTTTGGACATTAAAAAATATTATGTATGTTTTCTCTCCTCTTTGCTCTCAAGTATACTTTATCAGATATTAATATAGCCACTGTCACTTTCTATTGATTAGTGTTGGAATTACACACCTTTTCCACCCCTTTACCTTTATTTTTAATAGCTTTATTGAGATATAATTCACATTAACACACAATTGACCTATATGAAGTATATGATTCAGTGATTATTTGAAGGTTCACAGATAGGTGTAACTGTCACCACAATTTTAGAACGTTTTCACCATCTCAAAAAGGAACCCCATAACCTGTAACTATCACCCTCCTGTTCCAGTCCCAGGCAACTGCTCATCTTGCTTCCTGTCTCTAACACATTTCCCTATTCTGGACATTTCATATGAATGGAACCATCTGACATGTGGTCTTCTGCGACTGGCTTCCACTTAGCATAACGTTTTTCAGGGTTTTTTTTTTTGAGGAAGATTAGCCCTGAGCTAACATCTGCCACCAGTCCTCCTCTTTTTGCTGAGGAAGACTGGCCCTGAGCTAACACCTGTGCCCATCTTCCTCTACTTTATATGTGGGATGCCTACCACAGCAAGCTCAACACGTGGTATGTAGGTCCACACCCAGGATCCGAACTGGTGAACCCCAGGCTGCTGAAGCAGAATGTGTGAACTTAACTGCTGCACCACTGGGCCGGCCCCAAGCATAATGTTCTAAAGGTTCATTCATGTGGCAGCATGTATCAGCCCTTAATTCCTCTTCATGGGCAAGTAATATTGCATTGTACGAGTACGCCACATTTTGTTTATCCATTTAAAAGTTGATCAACATCTGGGTTATTTCCATCCTTTGTTTATCATGAATAACGCTATAAACATTTGCTTTAAGTTTCTGTATGGACACGTGTTTTCATTTCTCTTGGGTCTATA